GGGACGATCCCCGACTCTCACCACACACTTCTCACTCGGTGTACAAGTGTATTACAAAGTGATTCCTCATAATTAAGCACAATACAATAAATGAATGTTCTCTCTAACAAGGTGAGAACTCAATTAAGCACAACTCTAAGTCACTAATTCCACAACCCAAAATATACTATGAATGTAAATACTATAAGCTCAATAGGTTGTGTGTGAACAAAGAGATAAAACAATATAAACTCAATATGAAATCTAGCTTATGAAATTAAGAACAAACTTATAAAATGCTAGAATTGAGTTTAAGGAAACTTCTCTATAGATGACAAGAGAGTGGGAGAAGAGTGAATGCTCAAACACCAAAGGATGATCTCCACTTGCTCATGTGAAATTGAATTCACAAACTCAAACCCTCAATTAAAAGCTCTTTAAACCAAACTTAAACAAGCACTAAACAAGTTTAAACATTTGTTAAACTATTTTAAAACATTCTCTTTTTTTTTAACTGAGGTATAAGGGGGTATTTATAGCCTCCTAATACCTCAAACAAAAGCCCAAACCAAAAGATCAAAAACCCCTCCAACGGATACAAAAAACTAGCCGTTATGGGCATTCTGGGCGCTGGTCGGTCGACCGACCATTTTTTCGGTCGACCGCTCGCACTGTACAAACCTGAAAAAGCTCCAGAGACATTTCCGGTCGACCGGTCCGGTCGACCGGAGTACTGTAGCAGTGCGCAGCTATTTTGTAAAATAAATTTATAATAGTAAATGAACTCCAAAAATTATGAAATTTTGTGAGAATGTTCTAGACATGTAGAATAACATGTCAGAGAAAGAATTTCTGAAAAATAAGTTCCCAGTTGAGAGAAATAAATGTTTGAACACAAAAATACAGTTTCTGAAAATCTGCTGTGATACACGATTTTGTAAAATCAATTAGGCATAGTAAATCAACTCCAAAAATAGTAAAAACTGGAGGAAAATTTATAAACATGTAGATAAACATGTCAGAGAAAGAATATTTCAAATATCACTTCCCATTTGTAAAAACTCATCAGTTTTGTAAAACATGCACGAACATGTGCACGAACGAAAACGTGAATTTGTAAATTCCTTTAAACATAACAAATCAATTTCAAACTTGATAAAATTTTGAGAAATGTTTGAAAATAATATTTTGAGCATGTTACAAAAAGAATTTTTCAATTTGCATTTCCTAATTGTGAAATCTCATTATTTTGCAAAAGTGTTCAAAACATGAAAACTCAAAATCATGCATGTATATATATAACTATATATATACATAGAAACCAAATACGTGTGTGTATATGATATTGAGCTTAAGGTACTTAACACACATAATATAAAACCTAAACTAGATTACCCAAGCCGATCTTGATCTTCAATAAGCTTGACTTGGTACACTTTGCGGATGAAGCTTGAACTTGATCTTTAACTTGAATTGTATGTTGCTTCAC